CAAATTCTGAAATCAGACAAATTCTAAAAATGGTTACTCAAAGTTTAAATATTTGTTTTAAACATATTAAACTTGTCAAATTGAGCCTGGATCCATAATTTTGTATCTTAACAACGTTTTTGATAAAGTAGTTTATAATTATAAGAATGAAATAGGGCTTCTTTATGCAGAGGTACAATTGGATGAAATGACTTTGTTTAATGATGGAGGAATTGTGGTTATTTGGCAAGACAATTATTACGATTAAAGTCAAGCGAACCCGTTAGAAAGTTATTTTGATCTATGATCTAGATAAGATCTAAAATTAGTTTTACGAAAACTAACAAATCTCTTGTCGTGAATAATTAATTTTTATAGAATTAATTAATAGTGAACGATTAGGTTTTGAAAATATCTGGTACTGATTATTCTGAATGATTGAAAGTTGACTAAAAGTTTTTGAAATCTTCAATTATTTTACAATGTAAAAAATTTTTATCAATAAGGAATTCAGGACCTGAGAAAATAACAATTTATTATGATTTTTAATTTTTTATTGTATTATTAATAAAATTTTTAATCTTTTTATTTATTAATTTAAAAATTACCTGCTAAATCTAATATTTTAAAAATATTATAAATAAAATATTTAAAAAAAATTAAAACCAATAATTTTTAAACTTATTCAAGACCAATTTAGGACTCAAATGATATAAGTTCAGGTTTTTTTTTCATTTGATCTGAATTATATATATCATTGAATATAATAAATTTTCTCCAAATGTGGATTCCATTTATATGGAGTATATTATGTTATTTGCGTGTAACCTTACAACGTTTATAACCTAAATTAAGTTAATGATTTCCATAATTGTAAATATAACTTTACACGATTTATGTTCATTAATAATTTCATTTATAGTTATTTCCGCCATCGATCATCCGGTTATATAAAGTCATCTAAATTCCTCATCAAAAATTTCAACGCATCTTTTTTTTTTCATCATGAGTGAATTTAACGTTATTTTGCGTGTTAATATTATCGAAGCAAAAGACTTGGCTGCAAAGGATAGAAATGGGTTCTCCGACCCTGTAAGTACTATTTTATGATAATTTCTTTCTTTTTCCTTAATATATTTTACAAAATTTAGTGATTAAATTAATTGAATTATGTTATCATAGTTCATGACGATGAACATTGACGATTCTACTGACCAAACCCAAGTCATCAATAAAAGTTTGAATCCAAGGTGGGATGCGGTTTTTGATCATAAAATTGAACCGACAAACCCACCTAAAGAGATTCGCATGACATGCTGGGATAAAGATGTGTTTGGTAGAGATTATATGGGTGAAATCTTCATTTCTTTGGAAAATTTATGGGAAAATAATGGTTGTATCTCATATAATGATATGCTAAATTTGGTAATTCTATATATTCTTAATTTTCTGTTGAAAAATTTTTATTCGTTATATTAAATTTTATTTTATTATTTGTTATATGATTGATTCAAGCCACAATGGTATTCATTAACTACAACCCGTAAAAATGAAGATGTTTCTGGCCAAGTTTTGATTAAAATCGGTCTTATTGATAAAGATAATAAATTCCTAGATGCACGAGAGTGGAATTCATTCTGGCGTAAGATAAACAATTTAAGTATTGAAGTAGAACCTGCTGCTCCAATTGCAATTGATACACCACCTACAGCAAAACCAACAATAAAACCAACCCACGAAAGACACGATAGCTTAAACACAATATCGGATATAATTGGGGTAACTTTCCTCGAGATTGTTTGTGCTCTCGATTTACCAGCAGAAAAAAACAGTAAGTGCTTTGATTTAGCGGATTCATCTATTTTATCTTTCTGTTTATTTTTTCAATATTTTATTTTATATTCATTTATATTCATTATCGATGTTTAAATAGTGACTGGTTTAGGATTCGATATGGATCCGTTTGTTGTTGTTTCTTTTGCAAAGAATACTTTCCGAACAAAAATCATTGATCATAACTTGAACCCTGTATGGAATGAAAAGCTTCATTTTCCTGTTAAAAGGCAGGAATTTGGATTTCGGATTAAATTCTCCATTTACGATTGGGATAAATTTAGTCAAAACGATCACGTTGCGTCTAAACTTTATGAGATTAAACCACTAATTGATCGTGGATTATCTAACATGTCTAATCAAGATCTTGGAAATAATATGGAAGAAGGATTGTTTGAAGAAGTCCTTCAACTTGATATTCATAGTAAAGAAAAGTTAGCAAAGAAACATAATTCTAAGCTCGTTATCAAAACTAAATTTATACCCTATGAACAACTTCGAAAACAATTTTGGTATGCTCTGGCTAAGAATTATGATTCGGACGGAAATAGGTTATTGAATAATGTGGAACTTGAAACTATGTTAAGTTCTTTGGGATCAACTTTGACACAAGAAAGAATTAACACCTTTTTCACTCGATTTGGTAAAGATCCTATAAGACATGCATTAAAATTTGATGAAGTTGTTTCTTGCTTGGAACAATATTTAGGAGATGCTACAATTTCGCACCAATCTGCAGATTCTAACGGTGATGAAGCAGATAATGAACATTTGATCTACCTTCAAAATTGTCCAATCTGCAACAGACCAAATCTTGATCAGTTATCCGAAACCAATATAATCACTCATGTCGCGATGTGTGCAAGTTCTGATTGGGGTAACGTTGATAAATTTGTTACCGGGGATTTTGTCACCGAATCTCAAGCACAGAGAAAGTGGGTCTCAAAAGTTATCTCTAAAGTTGGATTTGGTGGCTATAAGATTGGCGGGGTAAGTGTCCTTTATCAAATTTATCAACGTATTATTTTTATGATTCTCACTGACTTTCAGATATATAATATTATAATATTAGAATAATGCCAATATTCTCGTTCAAGATCGCTTGACAGGACAGTTAGCTGAAGAGAAAATGGCTACCTATGTCCGTCTGGGAATTCGTTTATTGTACAAAGGCGTTGGAAATGTCGATTCTTCAACGAGTAAGTCAATAATTTTTTAAAATTAAAAAAAAATTTCTTTTGTTCTTTGAATTATACGATTAAACTTAATTAATCTATTACTTATTTATTCATAAAAGCAAAAAATCTCTTGGAATCCTTGTCCGCTAAACAGGGGAAAAAGTTTAATCATCCTTCCTCTGCAGGAGATATTAATCCATTTATTAAATTCCATAGACTTGATATAGATGAAATTGCGGATCCGTTAGAATCATTCAAGAATTTTAATGAATTCTTTTACCGCAAGTTGAAACCTAGTGCCAGACCATGCGACTCACCAACAGATCCTTACGTTTTAGTGAGTCCAGCAGATTGTCGTATGATGGCTTTTCCGACTATATCGAATGCGACTGAATTATGGATCAAGGGGCAAAACTTCTCAGTTGCAAAGTTAATTGACGATGAAAAGATCGGTCAAAGATATGAGGGTGGCAGTTTAGGAATTTTTAGACTGGCGCCACAAGATTATCATAGGTATGTTCGCTTTATTTTAAAGAATTTCTTAATACTAATATAAGAAATTATTATTAATTTACTTAATTTTATTAATAGATTCCACTTCCCAGTAGAAGGAGAATTAGGACCAGTAAAAGAGATTCCCGGCGCTTATTATACTGTTAACCCGATGGCTATTCGTTCACCGTAAATGTTTTTAACTTCACTTGAATTATTTTTCTTATGTACTTATAATTTTATTGGTTAATGACTATATAGACTTGATGTGTATGGCGAAAATAAGAGAGCTGTAAGCTTTATTAACTCTCCTCAATTTGGTCAAGTGGCCTTTGTCGCAGTTGGTGCTATGATGGTCGGTTCTATTAATTTCACAAGGTATTGATTTATTTTATATTATTTCTTTTTTAGTACATTTACTTTATTTTCTAATTGAGTGTTAATACGTTTATAATACGATAGCACGCCAGGTTCTTATGTGAGAAGAACTGACGAACATGGTTACTTCGCTTTTGGTAAGAGAATTACTATATATATTATTAAAATTTCAAATAAATTAAAGCGTATTAATTTTTTATTATTATAAAATTTTAGGTGGAAGTACCGTTATTATGATATTTGAAAAAGGAAAAATGTTATGGGATGAAGATTTATTGGCAAACTCAAAAACTTGTTTGGAAACTCTGGTGATTATACAATGAATTATTTCAAAATTTTTTTATTTTTTTTTACGATCCATTTTAACAAATATCTCGTATTTAAAAAAAAAATTATAGGTTCGCGTTGGTATGCGAGTTGGAATAGCAGTTCGATTTTAATAGATTATTAAAGAAAAAAAATATTTATTTATTTATTTATTAAATCATTAAGATCATTTTATTTATTCTATTTATTTATTTAACTTTGTCTTGTATTTATTGTATATATATATATGTATTAAGTTATTTATTACCTATATTAAAACTATGCAATGAATTGTTCACATTGCATTATGGATTACTAACCATTTGATCATTAATAATTTAATAAATTTCATTCTATTCTATAATTCAAGAATTTGATATATATTAATAATAATAATAAAAATGAAGACTCGATTCATGAAAAACCTTACCATAGATTCCACTTAGAAGACGATATCATTTATTCTGAATATCATTACGAAATGGACCATCGCTTAACATTTCTGCATTGCATTTATAAAACTTTAAAATGAAAGATTACATAAAATGACTGTAAAAGACAACGATAAAAGTATAATTACGAAGTTATACAGTCCACCTGTAAATTTATAAATATATATATATGACAAAAACCGATAATGTAATTATCGTGGCGCAGATAAAAGAACAATGGACTTCCAACAATTACTCGAAGTAATCAATCGAATTGCGATATTGACAAAAAAATTAATGAAACTTGATTTTGCATATTTCGCCTTTGTTTAGATTAATTATATAAATTGTACTCGTATCCTTTTCTGACCAACTTTTTTAATTGTAACGAAGAAAATCTCAGATGGACAAAAGCAATTATTTTCAAGAATATCAAAGTAAGTTAAATTTCAAATAACGAAAAATTCAAAATATAACCAAAGAGCTAATAAATCAAAAAAAATTTATCATTAACCAGCTCAATACTCATACCAAGAAAATTTCTACAATCAAATTTCCCCGTATAATAATAATAATAACACACAAAATTGCTTCTATGAAAATCTTCATATTGATCCTCAATTGCTACAATTAAACGCGACTAACTCTTATTCTGCTGGACAGAATTACTCTCCTCAACCATATTATAATATGACATCTATTAGCAAGACTGATAATTTTTCGGAAACAACGTGTGCTGATTGTTTAATCACTTACGCTCCAACATGGAGAATTCGTCAAGATGGGAAAAAAGTGTGTAACGCATGCGGATTGTAGTGAGTTTTATTTTTAATATTCAATCTCTCTTTCAAAATTAATTCTTTTAGGTAACTTAATTTTTCAACCTTAGCCGAAGAAAGTATGGTAGCAAACGACCACTTGAGGTGACCAGAGAAGGCAAAGTAAGAATCAAGCGAAGGAATATCTCTGCGAATCAACCAAAGGTTTGTGCAAATTGCGGGACCAATGAATCTACTTGTTGGAGAAGAGTTGGTGGAGAAAGGCATTGCAACGCTTGTGGTTTATTTGCGAAAATCAATGGACAACCAAGGCGCGTCAAGAAATTTTTCCGATAATTTATCACGTGACAGTAGAATGCCTAGGTTACTTCATAATGATAACTTTATGATTTTTAATTATTTATAGTTAAAAGATTTTTTTTTAACAAAAAATTTATTAATATTTATGTCAATTCTATAAGTATTATATATAAGAATATATTAATTATCTATTATGAAATATTTATTTACATTATCTTAAGAGTTTTAATTTTATATAATTTTATTAAGTAGATCGTATTATTTTAGAAATCGGAATAATTATAACTATAATTTTTTTATTCAATAGCTTTTTATTATTAAATATATAATATTACTTATGATATATCGTTATACCGAGTATTCGGTAAAACAAATATTCTTGTTATATCGAACTTAATATGTAAATTCTTTAAAATTCGGTTTATCAAATTTTTTTTGTAACATATGCTATATATTTATTATATTATTTATAAAAGTAATGATCATCACCGGTGTTAAATCAACCAATAGTAATTGGAGTTTTTATTAATTACCTCATGTATCCAGTGACATTTAAGGAGCAAAACAAATATTTTTTAGTGGTAAAAAATTTCTGTTCCTAGAATTCATAGTAAAAATGAAAACAGGAAGGCATGACATACAATATAAACATATAAAACACGTGATACTGGTGATGATCACCACCAGCGAAATATAGTAACTTTCTTTATAAAATTGATATCATTATAGATTCTGATTTAAATCTCAAAACTTTTCTTCTAATACCCTTCATAAATTTTTAATTCGTCACTAGTAACCTCATAATTTTCTGGTAAAAAATTATGAAAAGTAATTAATTTTTTAATACTGCTTAATACATCACTTAAAGAAATATTAGAAATAAATTCACTTTCATCATCATCTTATACTATTTCTATATTGTATCTTGATCATATAGTTTCAAAAATCTCATCATCCTCTAACAAAATTTCATACCCACTTAATTTATTAATATTAATATCGATATATTCTAACCCAGATAAAATATTATCATATAGCAGTTTCTGTATAATATCATTTAAGTTATTTTCTTCATTTTTCCTATTAAAATTAAGCTTCATATCTATATCTTATTTATTATCTGATGGAATAATACTAGTTTTTAACCAGCAATTTTAATGGTGAGAGGGTCAACCTGATCTCATACTTCAATAATAAAATCAATACATTATAAATATTAATAAAAGCAATAAATGTATTTAATTCTTATGAAATATCATATTCTTCAACTCTATTTTCCACTTATAATTTATATACTTAGCCTTAATTTTAATAAAAAATGTTAAAACAACCATTTCAAATATAAATTTATTAATACTTACTTTAAAAGAATTAATAATATCTTAGTCCAGAGATTGTAAATATAAAGTTATATTAGGTGATAAATAATAAATTTCAACATTACTAAAAAAAGGCTACTCATATTATTTACCATGTATTAGTATATTATCAACCTATAATTAAAGATTGAAACTAGCTTTGGATCACCTAGATCACTCGTATTAAATCAGTTTGACCTAATTTCAGATTTGACAATTCAGATACCTGATTATTTTAATGATTTCTGATGCTCGATGATTTTAAAAAATTCAAATTAGTTAAAATCAATTGAATTGTTTATATAAATATTGAATGAGGTTTAATTTGTTTAAAATTTAAATTATGTAAAACATTTTATAGATAAATATTCTATAAACATTCCAGCTGAATTTTTTATTTAATTTTTAATTCGTTATCAAATTTACTTTAAATATTAGCTTTTAACTATAAATGATAGGCCTTTCCTTTCAGACAATGATAATATAATTGTTACTTTAATAATAAACTTACTACAAAACTTTTTTTTTGATAAAAGCAATAATATATCATAATGAAGGTTAAATTAAATAAATTTATGACCTGAAAAATCTAGATACCCAATTTATAAATGATGCGTATCTGAATAATAAATTAAGAGACAGTTTCAATCTTTATCTATAATATGATTTTTTACGATAAAAGCATATTAATTTATTTAATATTTTTAAATAGTCAAGTCAAATTGATTGTTGCATCTATATGATTTTATTTTAATAATATTATACAGAATTTTCAACTATCATACCATGCAATAGATAAGAGATTTTGTATTTGTATAGTTTAAATATATCTTCACTTGTAGCATTACATGTCAGCAAAATAATTACTTGATTTTTTAATTTTTAGTTCCTATTAGAGGCATGCCAGAAATCAGCTGATTTAAAAGGGAGGTGAGGTCAGTCTTTATATCAGGTGGTTATAGTCACGTGATATACCTAATGTAAATGATTGGTTGGTTCGATTTAGCTAGAAATGTTGGCAAAAATCACATGCCAAATACAATTGTAATAAAATGATTGGTCAGAATCATA